AAGCCAAAAACACAGCAAAACAGTCATTAACGGCCTCTCAGTGTGTTAAAAATGTCCAGGAATATAACATAACCAAGAAAGAGAACGTAACTTTCATGACATCGATTTTAAATAAAGATTTTGTGTATTTAGTTGTTTGGTATTTTTTTGACATTTTAACACAGTGTTACCTGTTTAAGGTAAATAATTATTGTAAATTTATTACAATAATTTCGAGGCCATTTTCATGGACATTTTGATCTGTCACAGTAAAAAAAAACCACAGGACTGCACTCTGTTTATTGCACCGAATTATTTCCTTGTGAGTATGGTACTAAAAGAATAATAAATTACAATGTGAAATATTATACTCAATAAGTAAATATGTCTGGGATTAAATGCTGAGTGCTGCATTCTGTGTTGCAAGTGAGATCAGGCTGACACTGTTTAATCTTTCTGTAAATTATATTTTCTCAGTCAGGAAGAGGTGATAACATAACATAAATAAAATAATCTCATTATCCCTAATAAGCTGTAAGCATCAGCATCAAAGGATTATCCTAACCTCTATTTTCAGATTTTGTGACAACTCATAGCGCATTTTAAACATTTTTGTTTTGATATTACTCCCAATTCCTGCACTTTCAGTGTTATTCTGTGTTATTATATTATGAGAATGCATATTCTTATTAGTAAATGAGTTCATAAAGATTTTGAATATTGTGGATGATAATTTTAATATCTTGTCTACAGCAGAAAAAAAATACAGCTTATAGTAGAGGAACTAGGAGGAAGGCAGTTTGAAGTGTTGCATTTGCACGTTTCAAAAATACGAATTCAAAAATAGATCCAGACTTGACTGTGGTTCATGTGTTTTAATTCTTCTCACTCACAGGCATGGCTGCTCATCTCATCGCTCTTCTCCTCTTCAGTGTGCTCAAAGGTTGGTCAAAGCAATCATTTAAATACCTCATGTTTCAATGACCAATCTCAGCAGATTATTACATTAAAGACATTTTGTATTATTCACTTTTGTACTTAACAATACTCTAAGTGTCCACATGTACAAGAGACAAGTGAAAGAAGAATGTTTTAATTAAACATAAACATGAAGATAATTAATTTGTTTATATTTATTTATTTGTTCTTGTTGCAGGAGTTCACAGCATAACTACAGTCAGTAAAGTATCAGTGGAAGCTGGAAAATCTATCTCCATCCCATGTC